TCTTGCTGATAAACAGTCATAATTACATTCTTTGTCAAAAAAAATATGTCTTGTCAGTGTAAAGAAACCCCTATTGCTATCTCTATTTCAGTCAAATATGAGGGCTAAATGAATAAGTAAGGACCCCCTAACCACTTGCTGGTTCCAAAAAAGCTCATACTGGTGTCATGTTACCACACAACTACAAATTAAACCTAAACAAAACTAGTAAAGCTGTACTTGTGTGAAAAAAAATAACAAATTATGCAATTTATTTATTTCGGTCAAAATAATAGGATGTACAGGCAAATAAAATATGTCGCGTCTCAAATTCCAGTGGTTGCACATGTGTCAGACACTGCGAAAAGTTAAAGCGAGCATTTATAATTAAAAATGTATTGCAAGTTACATAAAAATAATGAAGTTCTACTTTCTAGGTAAATTTTTACTTTATTACCCACAGATCAGGCAAAATTTGCTGAATCAGCAATTTTCACTCCCAGGGGTGGAATTTAAGGGCTGTTTTTATCATAGTTGCCCTTAATCAACTTTTTATTGATAAACTTACAAATTGCATAGGTAAAAAAAAATCCTTCATTGATTTAGTGTAAACATGTATATCCCCCTTAACCAAGACATTTCAAACTTGAAATCAGTCATGACACCTATGATGCATAGCCTTCTTCTTATGTAACATATTACAATAAAGAATACTAGTCTGCACTTATTTCTTACCAAAAAAAAATGAAAGATTACACCCCTACCCCAGCTGGCAGATTTTCATTTTCTTATCATCTTACCATTTTTACTTAAGGAGTGAACAAAATCCAAATATATGATGTTTCAAATCAACACAGAAGTCAAACATGGTGATTCAGGAGGAATTATTGGATTGCCAACTCTATTTATAGTTAATCTGACTGAAAGAAACAGTTTAAGCACCAAATCATGAAAAATGGTATTAAAGTCCATTCCACATTTTACAGCATGCCTTACATTACTTTAAGCATTTCCAGATTATGAAGGCAACACAACAAGATTCTTTAGATGGCATTTAACTATCATTCTAAAATCTTTTTGACAATATATGTACTAGAATATATCTCTAAGTTGACTGTTTGTCTATTTCTCATGTATGCATTAAGTTAAATTATGTCCCCTTACATAATCATTTTACCTTTATTGTGCTTTTCATTGTCAGAAAATCAAAACAATTAATGACATTTGCATGGAAAATGAATAAACTATTTAATCTTGCTGATAAACAGTCATAATTACATTCTTTGTCAAAAAAAATATGTCTTGTCAGTGTAAAGAAACCCCTATTGCTATCTCTATTTCAGTCAAATATGAGGGCTAAATGAATAAGTAAGGACCCCCTAACCACTTGCTGGTTCCAAAAAAGCTCATACTGGTGTCATGTTACCACACAACTACAAATTAAACCTAAACAAAACTAGTAAAGCTGTACTTGTGTGAAAAAAAATAACAAATTATGCAATTTATTTATTTCGGTCAAAATAATAGGATGTACAGGCAAATAAAATATGTCGCGTCTCAAATTCCAGTGGTTGCACATGTGTCAGACACTGCGAAAAGTTAAAGCGAGCATTTATAATTAAAAATGTATTGCAAGTTACATAAAAATAATGAAGTTCTACTTTCTAGGTAAATTTTTACTTTATTACCCACAGATCAGGCAAAATTTGCTGAATCAGCAATTTTCACTCCCAGGGGTGGAATTTAAGGGCTGTTTTTATCATAGTTGCCCTTAATCAACTTTTTATTGATAAACTTACAAATTGCATAGGTAAAAAAAAATCCTTCATTGATTTAGTGTAAACATGTATATCCCCCTTAACCAAGACATTTCAAACTTGAAATCAGTCATGACACCTATGATGCATAGCCTTCTTACTATGTAACATATTACAATAAAGAATACTAGTCTGCACTTATTTCTTACCAAAAAAAAATGAAAGATTACACCCCTACCCCAGCTGGCAGATTTTCATTTTCTTATCATCTTACCATTTTTACTTAAGGAGTGAACAAAATCCAAATATATGATGTTTCAAATCAACACAGAAGTCAAACATGGTGATTCAGGAGGAATTATTGGATTGCCAACTCTATTTATAGTTAATCTGACTGAAAGAAACAGTTTAAGCACCAAATCATGAAAAATGATATTAAAGTCCATTCCACATTTTACAGCATGCCTTACATTACTTTAAGCATTTCCAGATTATGAAGGCAACACAACAAGATTCTTTAGATGGCATTTAACTATCATTCTAAAATCTTTTTGACAATATATGTACTAGAATATATCTCTAAGTTGACTGTTTGTCTATTTCTCATGTATGCATTAAGTTAAATTATGTCCCCTTACATAATCATTTTACCTTTATTGTGCTTTTCATTGTCAGAAAATCAAAACAATTAATGACATTTGCATGGAAAATGAATAAACTATTTAATCTTGCTGATAAACAGTCATAATTACATTCTTTGTCAAAAAAAATGTCTTGTCAGTGTAAAGAAACCCCTATTGCTATCTCTATTTCAGTCAAATATGAGGGCTAAATGAATAAGTAAGGATCCCCTAACCACTTGTTGGTTCCAAAAAAGCTCATACTGGTGTCATGTTACCACACAACTACAAATTAAACCTAAACAAAACTAGTAAAGCTGTACTTGTGTGAAAAAAAATAACAAATTATGCAATTTATTTATTTCGGTCAAAATAATAGGATGTACAGGCAAATAAAATATGTCGCGTCTCAAATTCCAGTGGTTGCACATGTGTCAGACACTGCGAAAAGTTAAAGCGAGCATTTATAATTAAAAATGTATTGCAAGTTACATAAAAATAATGAAGTTCTACTTTCTAGGTAAATTTTTACTTTATTACCCACAGATCAGGCAAAATTTGCTGAATCAGCAATTTTCACTCCCAGGGGTGGAATTTAAGGGCTGTTTTTATCATAGTTGCCCTTAATCAACTTTTTATTGATAAACTTACAAATTGCATAGGTAAAAAAAAATCCTTCATTGATTTAGTGTAAACATGTATATCCCCCTAAAAGGCTACCGATTAAACACTATAATTAGATTCGTTGAATATTGTTTTTATTGGTATTGATTGATTTTGTTATCAGTGAATTAAAATTTAACTAATTAAAATATTGTTTTCATGTAGTTTTACATAAAATAAAATCTGTCGATACCTGTATCTTGGCATTGCACAGGGTTATGTTTTTCTTTGACTGTTAACGACGTCTTTACGATAAATCAATTTGATGTTGGATGTGTACTGATTGATATTTTAGTCTGAGATTCATGAATTTTTTTATTAGTTGTTATTGGATTGAACTAGCTGTCAGTAACTGCGAGTACTCTCAGATCTGTACTTATTGTCTTTTTGTTGTGGTGATGTATAAGTACCCTGCCACGTCCACTCTAAAGCCAGATCATTTAATTTCACATTCAGATATATTGATGATGTTCTTTCCGTAAACAATCTAAACTTTTCTGATTGGGTTCCATTAATATATTCTCCAGAACTAGAAATTAAAGAAACAACAGACACGGCTTCTTCCGCCTCATTTTTAGACTTATACCTCGAATTTGACATCAGCGGTCAACTCAGTACCAGAATCTATCGAGACGATTTTTATTTTGAAATTATCAGTTTCCCCCACCTAAGTAGCAATATACCAACTTCACCTGCATATGGGATATACATTTCCTAACTCATTTGGTATCAAGAGCTTGCAGCTGCTACTCAGACTTTGTAAAACGTCACCAGTGTCTGAGCAAAAAGTTGATGAACCAGAGTTATGTCAAAGAACGTCTCGTCCTTTTTCTAAAAAAGTTCATCGGAAGATACCAAGACCTTGTTGATAAATATTCCGTATCAACTTCACAAATAATACATGATGGTCTTGGTGTATAGATTCTAGGTACTGACGTTGTTTATCATCTTAGTGTTCTTTTATTTGTCTTTGTAAATTATTAACGCTTACTGTTTGGTCCATTTTTGGTAATATCCTTTAGAAGTGGCTCGGTACTTGTACATCCCGCCATTGTGTTGTTGTGCTGTTGTCATTTTTTGTATTCTTGTGTTTCAATGTTGCGTATGTGCTTTGTCTATATTCCATTTTGTTTTTCTTTGTTGACATATTTGTTTGTTTTTATAGTTATTGAGATTATAACACAATGTTGACTGCTGTACCCCTATTTTTGACATTTTTACCAATCATGTCTGTTTGTTTTGTTCACAGATTGTCGTCAATATAATGGAATTTTATGCATTTGTCATACAAGTGAGAGGTTTAGCTAGCTTTAAAACCTGGTTTAATCCACCATTTTCTACATAAGAAAATGCCTGTATCAAGTCAGGAATATGACAGTTGTTTTCCATTCGTTTGATGTGTTTGAGCTTTTGATTTTGCCAATTGTTAAGGGACTTTCCGTTTTAAATTTTCCTTGGATTTCGGTAATTTTGTTGTTTTACTTTTTGTTAGATGTATTTCTACTTTGTATTGATCTGATGAGTTGAGCCCTTTTCAACTGATTTTTATGGTTTGTTCTTATGTTGTACTGTTACGCCACTGTCCCAGGTTAGGGGGAAAACGAGGGGGGCGCCTTCAAACTAGTTTAACCCCGTCACATTCTGTATGTGCCTGTCCCAAGTCAGGAGCCTGTAATTCAGCGGTTGTCGTTTGTTACTGTATATCATATCTATTTTTCGTTCATTATTTTGTATATAAATCAGGCCGTTAGTTTTCTCGTTTGAATTGTTTTACATTTGTCATTTCGGGGCATTTATAGTTGACTATGCGGTATGGGTTTTACTCATTGTTGAAGGCCGTACGGTGACCTATAGTTGTTAATTTCTGTGTCGTTTGGTCTCTTGTGGAGAGTTGTCTCATTGTCAATCATACCACATCTTCTTATTTTTATAATGTATGAATGCTAAAATCTTCTGTTTGTAAATGCAGCATCCATAATTTATTTTTTCAATTGAAGAACACAGAAATCTTCCCATGGCTTATGAAAAAAGGAAATCTCTTCATATTTAATTTCAGCTTTTGTGAGCTTTAAACATAATTACTTACAAACCTGAGAAGCTTCAATTGAAATTTACTTTGACAAAACTACTTTTAGTTATATTAATTTATTTTAATCACATTCAAATGATGCTTAATTTGAAAACAGTTTTTTGATATGTAATTGGTAAGTAATACAGAAGCTTTGTCACACTGTTCATTTATTTTTTTTAGAAGTTGTATCATCTCTTTTTCTCTGGGAATCACATGTTTTTGCCAAGACACACAGATCTGTGAAAAGAAACAAAAATACAAATAACAGATACAAAACTAAGTTAATGTTGAATTTTAGAATATCATAGTATCTACAATGTGGGGAAAATGTACACGTCTACACAGTTGCGGACTCAGAGAGGGACTAAGGGAGCGTAACCCCCCCGCCCCAATTCTGAATCCGAGCCGACTGCTAAATGTAGCTGGGGGAGACGTAGCTAAGCTAGCAACAGTTTCAAAAGTATTTGGTATTACGATGCCTTGGATAGAACCCATGTCCTCCTTAATCCCTTGAGACAAGCACACATCACGAGACCACCGATACAAATCCAGAACTTCTAAGTGTGTCAGATGTTTTAATTATGTTTTAGCTAACACAATCCATAGCATAGTAGTTTAATATTGTCAAAGCAATCATGTTATTTATCTTTGCTTCTGCAAACATCTACATTTCTGAAAATAAATTCTAAAATGGAACTTGATTGACACAAAATTTAAACCTTGTACATACAGTATGAAAAAGGGAGAAATAGAATTTTTTTATGTTTGGATTATTCAGGCAAATATGAACTGAGTGTACGTCACTAAAATAGCGACCTGACGACAAAAGTGGCCAGAACACATCAAAAGGGAAATATGCAGTCTTCAACAATAATCTGAAAAGATGCATGCATGTTTCTCGTCATTTCATGCCATTAAACAAAAGTTAATTTTTTTTTTAATTTCTCTTCAAGAAAACGTCCTCATATCGCAAAGTTTCCAGATCGTTTAACAGATGGACAAATACTGCGTTATTGTTTTCAATAATTGAAGCATTAACCTTAACTACTGAATTTAGAATGGTTTTTGTTCAATAAGTATATCAATACTAACCAATACCGACATTGGTGATATCTCCTGATACTTCGAATGCTATTAGTAATGCAATCAATACTTACAGTTTCGTCCTTTGATACCATGCTTTCTCTCAAAGTCAAAACTTCTACCATACATCATGAACATTTTCTCAAGAATTTTAGTTTGTCCCGTTGTTAATACCTGTAATTGATACAAATGATGTAATAAATACGAATGAGAAAGAAATCTTATTTTTTTTGTCTCGCCTGCGACAAAATCTCGGAGGCGAGACGTAGGCGTAACGATCAAAATAACGCACAGGCGAGACACATCTTTGTGTCAAAAGTTTATTTACTAGAATGTAATAACACAAACAGGTTGTTGGTTGGAGGTAATGATTGACTTTCATAAGATTTCAAATTTAAGTTTACAAGATGATTGACAAATATGGAGGATGTTTTATTATTAGTATTCCTTTAGCAAAGCTTGAAGAAGTTCCAGCTTGATGTTTTCTCCACATGTACATTTTATTTTGTACCTTGTGGTTTTAAAACATTAATTTACAAGCCACTTAAAAGGCCTTTAAGCTAAAAAAAAATGTATATTTTGGAAGAATATCAATATATATACCGATTAAATTTTATTTAGCAAGAACTATTTTTAATTTGGTATTTAAAAAAGACATTGTACATGATACTTCTAAACATAACAATGAATAAATTATTGGAACAAAGACATTAAATCATAAGGTGAAAGTTTTGCTGCAGCAAAAAATGAAAAAAAAAAAATGATTTCCGCAACTTAGGATTTGTTTTTCTTTTTGTAATTAAAATACATGTTGGTTAACTTTTTTTACTCAGTCTATGTACCTATCTTGTCAACAACTATTAAGGTTTAACACTGGAAATTTTGTAATATCATCTATATCGTTATTATATTATCTGATGACCTAACCAAAGGCCTGTGGTATAAAGATTATAATATGTCATGCGGAACGATTTAAATTGTAAAATAACATCACTACCTTATCATTTCTAATGAGTTGTAGTTTAATTGGCGTCCATCTAACCTTGCGCACTTAAGCAAATAAAATATGTTTAAATTACTGAATGTCCAATAAGAAATGTTTGAAGCTTGTCACTCTCTATCTTTAGTTAAAAGGTAACTGAACTATTTATATTGAATTGATGATTGGTTATTGGTTGCTTAACGTCCATTTGCAAATATTTCATGCATGTTCAGGACGAGAACAAATTAACAATATATACAATAGTTAGGTTCTGTAATAGCTAGAGGAGATCAGGGATAAAGGCCGGAGAAATTTAAAGCGCCACTGTATAATGAGGGTATATTGGATAGAGAGAGACATTTTGCCTTGCAACATGCCACCTATAGCTTCGGACACCTCAAAAAGTTTTTCGACTGATTTTAATCATTAGCTTGAAAACGAGTAAAGCGACCCCTCTTTTTTGAAATGGCATTTGGCCATATTACGAGTGAAGATTATGTGTACAAATTTTTATGAACAAATCACCGATATTTTTTATATGGGTTAATTGAATTTCATGATTTTTAAAAGCAATGTTGATATGATTAAAAACGTAAAAGCTGAAAATGTAGATTTTACAGGAAAAAAAATTCACCATAAACAAATTTGGTCATCTAAGAGGTTGAATAAAGGGTATACCAAAGAATATAAGATAGAAATAAACAACAAGAAACCTATCATTTGAAGGTAAAAGAAAGATTTTAACAATGCAATATACTGCACATTGGTTAACATTTTGTCATCTTACATTGTACATTTTATTCATATAGAATTAGCCAAAAAAATATTTGCCACTATAAACATGTATCACTAAATTCATTTAAACTTGATGATTTACTAGATGTTTAATTATATAAGTAATACCCATACCGGATCACTTTAAAGAGAAGTCATTTTTTTGTATTATTGTGATTGATTGTTATTAGCTATATGACTGACTGAATGAATATTTTTATACTAAAGTGCAACCTGAATTATAACAAACAATTGTATTCAAATATACAAGTGATTTTCAGCCAGCCAAATAGGCTTATAAAGCACTGTCTTGATATGATACGCATTATGTTTTCATTATTGTAAAGAAAAATAAATAAATAAATAAAGTTCAAATTTAGACGAAAATATAGTAAGGCACGATATCAATTGATCACAGATTGTCTGATAGTAAAACAGTTCAAAATAAAGTTAGAAAAAAGCTCGCTGTAATTACAAAATGAATGTTTTAATCTGATGTTCACTGGTAGCGTATTTAAATCTATGTCGTAATTGTCTTGGATGTCATTGAATAGTGTTGTTCTCAATTGTTCGTAGCGTTTACAATACAACATAAAATGGGGTTCGTCCTCTATGTATTGAGATTTGCACATTTTACATAGGCGTTGGTCAAGTAGCACATTTCGAAATCTGCCCTTTTCAACCTCTAAAGGTAAAGTTCCGCTTCGCATCCTGGCTATCATAGATCTTTCTTGTCTCGACAAACATTTTTCAACTATGGCTCTACCTTGTAATCAGATTTAATGTTTTTGTAAGTGCGTTATTTAGGCATATCTTCTAACGCATTTAACCACTGCTGATGATGGGTTTCAATGAGTTTGTCCTTAACACATATATACCTGCACTTGCATAGTTATGCTCATCTGTATTGAAGTTAAGCATAAATACACTTGTAACAAACAAAATACGAATAACATAAAACGTAAAACATATACTAGCATACAACAAATTTTACAACAATCATATGCATTAAATAACTAAACTGCAAGAGTTTTACTGTCGGCCTGAAAAGTGCGGATTTCTGTACCCAAACTTCACTACAGATCAAATCAGAGTTTTGCCATAAATAATGCACATCTTCAACAAATTAACGTGGCAAAAATGTGTGTTGGAGTCAATATGAAACCTTTTATATCGTGTTCTGGTTGCCAATAAGACATATATCCTAATGTCTAAGATCATACCTCATTAGACAAAAAAAAAAAAAAAAAAAAAAAAAAAAAAAAAAAAAAACTGTATGAAAGAAAACTAAAAGAACTATAGAAAAACAAACCGTGAAAATAAAAAAACAAAACAAAACTACAACAAATTGACTGTTAACATTATCTGTAAATAACAAGTAAATGTAATACGAAAATCTAACTTGTAATAACTTTCGAAAGCTTAAATTATGAAGAAAATAATCATTGTGTTTATAAAGATAATATTTAAGGTAGAATATTTTTCTCAATCTTACCGGTTTTTGTTTTTCTCCAAATTCCTTCGGAGCTGCGTCCAAAATAGAAGAGAGCATGAACAAAGCAAACATGATAAATGCAATTTTCAACAAAACACCCATCCTTTACAAACGTATATCTTCTTCTCTGTCCAAAGAAATCTTTACTTCTATTTAATATTCGCGTTTACTACTTTCATTTAAAAAATCATTCATGCATGTTTCATTTAGTCTGACCAAAACAGACCCCATGTGGTTCTATTTATAAAAGTTTTTATGTATTAAAACCATATAATCCTTTCACTATACCAAGTGTATCATACTATTTAATTTCTGTCCTTTATCCTTCTTAATGAATACCAACCGCGTGTCTGTCGTACTCAATATTTGTATATACATGTTTTGAAAGACTGGTACTGCAAAAAAGTGACCTATGCGTCTCATGACCATTCGAAAGATACTGGCTTTATATATAATTCTACTAGATTGATCCCGGCTTGATATTCAGTTCAACCCTTGTATGCAGCGATAAACAACCATATATCCGTCAGAAAATAAAATAGCATCACATAGTTAAAAGTAAAATAGGTTTGTTAACTTGACTTGGATGGGCAGTTGTCTAATTGACACTCATACCACATCTTGGTCCATTATGATGATTTATTTTACATTTTGCATGTTTCATGAGCATGTCGACTGATCCGTGTGAATAATAGGTATGTTGACGCGAAAAAAACGAACTTAGATAAGTGGTCTTTTCAAGTTGATACATCAGATTACTTCAGAATATCACTTACACCTATACACTGTGTAAAAAGCCATAAATAAACCGTTCCTCATTGTGGTACAAACGTAAAAGCAGCTGTATCTATCGGGTTCCAAAGAATTAATCTGTGACTCGCCGAAAAAAAAAGACAAGATCATGAGTATTCCGAATCTTTAAAGGACGTTTACGAAATATCCATATGTTAATGTAAATAGAAAATATTTACGATTTTTTCAGAACATTTAAATAGAAACTCATCTATTTGCTGTATATGTAGACGTTGTTTTTGCCTAAGCCTCATAATTGTAGGGTGCCCAAAAAGTCCTCTAGTTAACGAGTTTTAGTTAACGGATAACACACGGCTAAGTATTTGTGCAAATTATAGGAAAATCATTATATTTTACAATCATGGTTGTCGTCGTAAGTTCCCATCGTCACGATTTTCTAAATTTCGTGTTTTTACAAGGTACCCCCAGATACCGTATTGTACGGAGAATCTTTAACATGAAAAATAGAATTATTACGCTCTTTGTTAGTGGTAAAAATAATACTTATAATATAGTTTATACTTTAAATATATCATACAACAAAAGCGGAAAGTATTCCAGTGATTTAAGTATAATTATTTCAGCATTTTAGTAAGACTAAAATTTTATCCCGAAATTTACCACATTTTCATAGAAAGCAAAATTATCACGTGTATCATCACGATATTTTTAAATCTAATTAAAGCAATAAGACACGGTGCATGTGTATACCAGATTTCATGTGTGAAATAATAGTTGTTTTGAAAAAAAATAGCAATTTAAAACACAAATTGAGTCTACATTTTGGCATTGATTAAACACGGATTATTCCTCGACATTAATCATTTTGTTGCTTACACTATTAGGTCATTAACAAGGACAGTGGTCACTCAATATATATTTCTCATTTGTGCTTGTTGTGTGGTTGATTTATTTGTTTTGAATAGCCAGCCTTCTTTGTAAATTGTTATTTTCTTCGGAGGAATATGTTATGTGTCTGTTTTTCAATACTTTAAACTTTTTTATTGAATATATATTTTTTTTATAATTGTAGTGTAAGAATCAAATCGGTCGATTTCGTTTCACACCCGGAATATGGCACATCAAGTCCAGGTTATGGTCTTGCATGATGTTTTCGACCTATACTCCATCGGTGTGATCGACAACAAAAATGTATCACCGTTCGTGCTATAAATTATACTCCAGCAGACACAACTGCAATAATTTCTAAGCTGAATTGGCAATAGGTTGTCCGAGCTGAAGCCAATGATCTATATGTGACAATTTTTTTTCATCGGTTGCTACGCATACTTATTTTTTTCCGCGGCCTTTCTGCACGTAAATTTATTTTTACTTTTATACACATTTATATCCTCAACTATCCTGCATTTTATGTTGCAGAGTATTCATTTTCATCCGGTCTTGTGCAAAGTCATTTATTTTCAGTTCACACCAGGCCAAGTTATTGATTTTCAAAATCCTCCTCCCCTCTCTCCTTTCGAAATCAGATGAACTCTGCCACAAAGACATGTACACTTTGCTACCATTCGGATTCCATACATCAAATATATTTGACCCACTACTTATAGTACCTGAGATAAGGACTTGACCACTGAAACTTAACCTTGTTCACTGATCCACGAAATAAGGTCGAGGTCAGGTGAACCATGTATGACCAATATAGACCTTGCAAGGATACCATATATTAGTAACCAAATATAGTTATCCTAGAACTCATGATAAAAGAGATACGCAGGATACCAAAGGGACATTCAAACTCACAAGTGAGACATTCACATGACGAAAAAAATCTATACAGTTTTTTAACAGTCACTAAACCATGAAAATGAGATGAAGGACAATGATTATATGACAGATGGGAACTTCGAAACACAATAGATCTATATACAAAGTATGAATGATCCGATTTCTCTACCCTTTGCAATATAAGGATATACGAAAAGTTTACGGTGTTGCCGCCGCCACCATTAGATTGTATGCTGTATGCCTCGCATTCTGCGACTTGCTTCGAATGTGATTTAAAGAAGAACAACCGAAATTAGCTCTCTAACCTAAACCTGGTCGGTAGGCTTTCAACTTAACAGCAGACAATGAAACGTAATAGCTACTGCTAGCTTCGGCAATTTTTCTGTGTTGTTTCAATCTGATTAAAATTCTGATCTATATTAAATCCCGTGCCCTTGTATATAAGTTCATATGAGAATAACGAATCATGGATCTATATTTTAATAGATTGATGTTGTTTACAACCCTCTTTTTGTAGATAATCTTTAACTTCATGTCAATTGTAGGCCACTTTATGCTCAATAAGGCATATAAGTGTGTAAGATTTAGTGATTAACCTGTCATTTTGTTTTCATATAAACTTTAACTAACAGAAACCCTCCCCCTATTCGCCGTTTGCAGTCTTTCTTATTTCTATAAAGCAAAGATATACCCAGACCTGCTAATTCAATCCATTCTGCGTTAATATTACACCAGTTTTGAAACTATGTACAATTTAATGATCTTTCACACTCACCAAAAGAAAATTGGATATTTACCAAGAAAATCTTTACGAACACCCTCTAACAAAAGACGGAAAATAACATTTTGGCAGGGTAACTTATAAATGTTAATATCTAAAAAAAACACCTCTAGAGATCACTTGTATGGAATCTTATGAAAAAATTCCGAATTTAGAAATTTTAATAGGTCAAGGTCACTGTTATTTAACAGCTGAATGAAAATTGTAAATGTGTACCCTATAAGTACAAATGTCAATCTCGAACCATATTTGGCAACATAAATATCAAATTAGTCCTAAATATAGAAACTATAGTTATATTCCTTTGAATTATTTTAATTTATTTTGCTATAAACACATATGTGTAGGAGCGGCCAGCTGCCTAACGTGACTCTGCGTTTTCCTTGAAATTTTAGCTTTGACCTTTGACCCTAATTTAAGAAATTCGTGACCACTGTAGACAACGACGACATCAATATTTCGATGAGGCTTGTTTTTCTCTTTCCAATGATATCAAATACAACCGTGTGTTAATCCGTTAACCTAAATCGATCAACTTCGTTGACTGGGCACCGTACTATCAATAAGTAAGTAAGATTAAACGTGCTCGTTTGTTTTTGGTGGCACTATTCCTATCTACCCTTTCAATGTTCTCACACTCGTTTACTACAGTACTTTACTTTATTACATATAATAAAAAGAGGATCTACACCAGAGACAGAAACCAAACTAAAACAGGAGCCAACAGACCACAAGATGGCAAAATTAATTCAACAATAGACGTGAATTTTTACACAGACATTATCATGGCTATCGAAGTTTTGTCATCAACACCAAATTCTTAAAATGAAAAAAAAACCGTGATGGTTCTAGTCAGATTTGACTAGTAGTACTAGTACTAGTATTCTCCTTCGTCCAAAAAAGGATTGAGATTAACTATGGGGCTTCGCTTATGAATTTGTTCCTTTCTTCGAAAACTATCTATTTTTTCTCCGTAAACTTTGGATTGTCCAAACCCTAAAATGAAATAATTGGCGTTCGTAAAACTTTCTATGGAACACACCGATTTTGCCTTTCTTGGCTCGTGTAAACGGGACATGCGTAACAAAAAGACTATTGCTCGCACAAGAACTGTCGAATTGCAGAATCGTTTGAATCTATCAGTGTATGACGATACTGTAACAGCTTCCGTCTTCGCAACATTGATAGTTGAACGGATTTCTCGGTCGTCATCTGAATCAACGAGTCGATGTTCTTTCTCACAAGTTTCATTGTGTTTTGAGGAAACATGTTGATTAGGTCCTAGTAGCCATTTGCTTCTGTTAGTCCAGCAGATTGGTGAATAATTGTGCACTTTGTGTTAAAAGCATGAAATTTGGAAAAAACCTAATTTGGACCATTCTAAACAAAATTAGATTTGGAGGCAAGCTTAATTTTATCAACAGTGTCGCATCCAGTGAATGCATGGAAGGCAGGCAATGCATATGCTTTTTCTAGTCCTAAAGTGTTAGAAAGCTCATGAATATAAATGTATCTGAAGTGTTTTCCAGTCCCAAAGGCAACCCATATTTCAGCTGCATTTATCACATGAAAGCAAGACACAACAATTACTACTACATCGTTATCAACTGTCTGAATCATCACTCTAGTATGTCCTTCTTTTACCGCATCTGCAATATGCACCTTGATTCTGGTATCAGCTTCTTCTTGATTGCAAGGTGCACGGCCTAACGTGTCATCACGGGGAGGATTACACAAAAAGTGTTGTCCATCTGTAGCAATAATTCTCTTCCCTAAAATGTTCTCATCCATCAGTT